AAGAACTAGAAAGAAAATAGAAGAAAACTCAGAGGGGTATGTATATATATGCTTGTATATGTATGTGTAGTGTGCCGTAAGTGTAAGTAGAAGTAGCAAGATGTACCTGAAATCTTGCATGTTTATGAGACAGAAAAAAGACACCAGCAATCCTACCATCATGTAAAACAATTACAGGCTTCTGTTTTACACTCACTTGGCAGGATGGTAGTACCTCCCTGGGCGGTTGCTGTCTACCAACCTTCTACCTAGGTTCCTTCTTTCTTATAGGGCAAGGAGGAATAACATCTTGTAGGAGTGAGGAAGAGCCAGTTGTGAGTGTGGGGGAAGTTCGTGAGGCAGTAGGTAAAATGAAAGGGGGTAAGGCAGCCGGGATTGATGGGATAAAGATAGAAATGTTAAAAGCAGGTGGGGATATAGTTTTGGAGTGGTTGGTGCAATTATTTAATAAATGTATGGAAGAGGGTAAGGTACCTAGGGATTGGCAGAGAGCATGCATAGTTCCTTTGTATAAAGGCAAAGGGGACAAAAGAGAGTGCAAAAATTATAGGGGGATAAGTCTGTTGAGTATACCTGGTAAAGTGTATGGTAGAGTTATTATTGAAAGAATTAAAAGTAAGACTGAGAATAGGATAGCAGATGAACAAGGAGGCTTTAGGAAAGGTAGGGGGTGTGTGGACCAGGTGTTTACAGTGAAACATATAAGTGAACAGTATTTAGATAAGGCTAAAGAGGTCTTTGTGGCATTTATGGATTTGGAAAAGGCATATGACAGGGTGGATAGGGGGGCAATGTGGCAGATGTTGCAGGTGTATGGTGTAGGAGGTAGGTTACTGAAAGCAGTGAAGAGTTTTTACGAGGATAGTGAGGCTCAAGTTAGAGTACATAGGAAAGAGGGAAATTATTTCCCAGTAAAAGTAGGCCTTAGACAAGGATGTGTGATGTCACCATGGTTGTTTAATATATTTATAGATGGGGTTGTAAGAGAAGTAAATGCGAGGGTCTTGACAAGAGGTGTGGAGTTAAAAGATAAAGAATCACACATAAAGTGGGAGTTGTCACAGTTGCTCTTTGCTGATGACACTGTGCTCTTGGGAGATTCTGAAGAGAAGTTCCAGAGATTGGTGGATGAATTTGGTAGGGTGTGCAAAAGAAGAAAATTAAAAGTGAATACAAGAAAGAGTAAGGTTATGAGGATAACAAAAATATTAGGTGATGAAAGATTGGATATCAGATTGGAGGGAGAGAGTATGGAGGAAGTGAATGTATTCAGATATTTGGGAGTGGACGTGTCAGCGGATGGGTCTATGAAGGATGAGGTGAATCATAGAATTGATGAGGGGAAAAGGGTGAGTGGTGCACTTAGGAGTCTGTGGAGACAAAGAACTTTGTCCTTGGAGGCAAAGAGGGGAATGTATGAGAGTATAGTTTTACCAACACTCTTATATGGGTGTGAAGCATGGGTGATGAATGTTGCAGTGAGGAGAAGGCTGGAGGCAGTGGAGATGTCATGTCTGAGGGCAATGTGTGGTGTGAATATAATGCAGAGAATTCGTAGTTTGGAAGTTAGGAGGAGGTGCGGGATTACCAAAACTGTTGTCCAGAGGGCTGAGGAAGGGTTGTTGAGGTGGTTCGGACATGTAGAGAGAATGGAGCGAAACAGAATGACTTCAAGAGTGTATCAGTCTGTAGTGGAAGGAAGGCGGGGTAGGGGTCGGCCTAGGAAAGGTTGGAGGGAGGGGGTAAAGGAGGTTTTGTGTGCGAGGGGCTTGGACTTCCAGCAGGCATGCGTGAGCGTGTTTGATAGGAGTGAATAGAGACGAATGGTTTTTAATACTTGACGTGCTGTTGGAGTGTGAGCAAAGTAACATTTATGAAGGGGTTCAGGGAAACCGGCAGGCCAGACTTGAGTCCTGGAGATGGGAAGTACAGTGCCTGCACTCTGAAGGAGGGGTGTTAATGTTGCAGTTTAAAATCTGTAGTGTAAACCACCCTTCTGGCAAGACAGTGATGGAGTGAATGATGGTGAAAGTTTTTCTTTTTCGGGCCACCCTGCCTTGGTGGGAATCGGCCAGTGTGATAATAAAAAAAAAATAAAAAAGGGTTACCCTAATACATACAGGAGACCCAACTCGCCATTGTTAAACAAAAATCTTCGAAAAATTAATCCACCAGAGACTATACTCATCGAGTGTCACTCAATATACTCAACTCCTACCATTTTCGTTTCAGACCCAATAAAAGCACAAACGATGCAATTGTAAAGATGCTAGACTTCCTTCATGCAGGTCTTGAGAATAATGAATATCCACTAGGCCTCTTTTCAGATCTTAGGAAAGCTTTTGATACAGCAGACCACAATATCCTGCACCTCCAACTTGAACATTATGGCATCAGAAGTCATGCACTTGAATATCTGAAGTCCTACCTTAACCCTTTCAGGGTCCGTGCCGTAGATCTACGCCATGAGCTCAGCTCACTCTGATAAGCTGTGAGTGGTAAATTTGGGCCTAGATATGAGAAAATACATCTATGTGGTATGTGTGCACCACATAAAACAAATCCTGCAGCACACAGTGCATAATGAGAGAAAAAACCGAGACCGTAATTTTCGATTAAAACAGCGACTTTGCAGTGTTTTTTCGTATGTTTTTTATAGTTGTATTTGTGATTTCTTGGTCTCATTTGATAGAATGGAAGATATATTACAGAAATAGAGATGATTTTGATTGGTTTTAGTACCGAAAATGGCTTGAAACTGAGCTCAAAGTAGTGAAAGTTAAATTTTTGTTGATGTTCAAGAGTAAACAAATGACCTCACATGTCTAATACACGCCATGTTCACAAATGTGGTGATATTTATACAATCATTACAATATTGCATAAGAGTAAATCTTCTATTTTTTGGTTTGAATAAAAATTCATTATGTGAATTAAAAATCAAAATGGAATTCATTTGTAAAGCCTGAAACCATAACTAATGAGCAGAGGAAATGTTAGTTTAGTGCCAGGAATACCTGCATTGTTTATTCTGGACCCTATTTTGAAATTGGAATATTTTGAACTTTGCATTAAATTCTCCAAATTACCAATTTCCAATCACTTTATTTTGTAGTTGTAACAGTTGACTTGGTGATTTCTTGTGATCAGTCGATAGAATAGAAGTAATACTAGTGAAATAGCTAAGAATTTGGTCGACTGGAATAATGTTATTGGCCTAAAATGGGAGTCAAAGTCGGCAAAATCGCTGATGTGTAAATATCGCTGACACATCAAAATTTGTAAAAGCATAATTTCGTCAATTTTCCATCAAATTTCGTACTTTTTGTTTTATTACCTTCAGAAAAAGATTCTATACCATTTCATTAGAAAAGATAACAAAATTATTTTTTGAAAATTCTTGGACCCTGATGCACACTTTGAAATTTGGCTTCTGGACCCTGAAAGAGTTAACAACAGATGCCAATATTTCTCCATCAGGGGGTAAAACCTTGTCAACATGACCTATACAGGGGAACCCCAAGGCAGTGTTCTTGGCCCTCTGCTTTTCCTCATATACATCAATGATTTTTCAAGTGCATCTCAACAACTTAGACCTGTTTTGTTTGCAGACAATGCAACTTTTGTCATCTCCCACCCAAATTCAAACTCTCTCAATAACACTGTTAATAAGCAGCTCATGAAGATATCTACCTGGATGACTACCAATAAACCCACTCATAACTCTGACAAGACCTTCTATATGATGTCTGAGAACAGTGCTACAAACATCCAGTTACATGTTATAATCAACAGTTCTGCCACTGCAAGACAAAATGAAAGAAATTTCTTAGATCTGTTCCTCAACAGCAACTAGAAATTCAATGCTCACATTCAGCACAAAAGAAGTATCCAAATCAGTTGGTATCCTCTCTAAGAAATGCTAGTATGTACATACTACCTAAAACAGCACTACATACTTATATTATACTACTCTCTAATCTATCTCTACCTCAGCTATGCTATCTGTGCCTGGACACCCACCACAGCAAATCACCTAAAGATGATAATAACTCAACAAAAAGTGGAAGTATGAATGATCACCCAGTCTAGTGCCATCACAGTCCTCCCACTCTTCAAATACAGTGGTTGAGTGTACATGCCAAAACTTACTTAGTACGTATACTATACATAAAATTCACTTATACTATTATGCATACTACATATACAAGACAATCAATTTTAATATCAATCCTGCCCTGAAACTCTTTCTTGATAGTTACAACAGAACTTATAGGCATAATACTAGGCACAAAAACCTCTATGATATTCCCCATGTCCTACTCAACATGCGTAAAAACTCAATGTGCATAAAAGAACCTAAAATTTGGAACTCTTTGCCTGAAGATTCCAAAGTCTCCCTCCCTGCCAACCACTTCAAAGCTACTCTAAAAAAAAAAAAAAAAAAACTCCTCACCTTTATGTGATCTTAACAATTTATTATGCTGAACAAATCTGAAACCCTGTCTTTCATCCAATATTGTCCCTGTTCTTGTTCCATCCTTCCTTCAACTATCATTTATTACTAAAAAGGCAATTTTTTCTATCAATTCAGGTGCCTAGCTTCATCCTTAATGTATCTTTAATTAGAATTTGTTATTGAATTACTGAATACCTTCAATATAGTATAAACTAATTATTCTTATTTTCACGTACTATGTCTCATTGTCTAGTAATTACAAGTTAGTTTTAACGTGCCAGAAATGCCTTGCATATCAAGGGCCTTTATAGAAAGTAGTTTATACATGTGAATTACCCTAATTGTATACTGTCAATACTCCACTTTACAGAAATAGTTATTTATTTGTTTATATACCTACCATACCAAAGTCCTTCTAGATGTAAGTTAGGTTTAAGTTTACCCAAAATGCCATGTATAACTAAGGGGCTTTCCATGTTATTGTAATGTCATCCAATTTTGTGCAAATGATGTATCATGTGGAAATAGTTTGGTATGATACCTGTGATCCATTCTCCATCTTCAAAAGTTGCATTTTGTCCACCAATATTGAGTTTAATTTTGCTGAAATCCTGAGAAAGATCTTGACCAGTATTGTCAGTCTCTCTTCTTAAACTCGAAAGTGAAGCCGATCTTCTAGGAGGAGACTTCCCGGGTGAGAAACTTCGACTGAAGAGATTTAAAGGCATGCTTATGGTTTTGATAATGTTCTGATGTCTGTGAAGCTTCAGCATCAGATCATGACAGCTTACCCAATCTGAAACAAAATACGTATGTTACTCTATAAGCATGACAAGTTTTACACAGCTTTACATTTTAATACTGTAATGCCAAAACAAAATTGAATAAGAGGCTCTCTGCAAAAATATAGGGTTGATTGAATTTTTATTTACCATGAACAACACAGAATTACTCTCAATATCTGTCAGTAAAACATTTATTATACTAGAATTAGACCAATGAACTTAAATCATTACCCTAACAAAAAGCTGCTGTGCTGATGATCACCAATTCCTCATCCAGACAACACACCCTAATGCTCTTCAACAGTTTGAACTTACTTAATATACAATATGCACTCATATTATTGTGCCTACTATATATATAGAACATTTAACTCCAGTATAAACCCTCCTCTCAAACTACTACTTGATAGCTACAACAAAACACACAGGCACAACACAAGGCACAAAACTCTCTTCAACATCCCTCATGTCCATCTTATCCTATGCAAAAAAGCAATGCCCATAAATTGCCCTCTGAAATAGAATTCATTGCATGAAACAGCAAAAGGTCCCCTGTCTGCCAATCAATTTAGGGCTATAATTAAGAAACATCTTATTTCCCAAACTTAAATATACCTACACTATACTATCTACTACTTGGAAAAACTGGAATGTATTAAATCTACAGGGAGCTCCATGTTCATCAAGAACTGCAAGAAACCCCTTTCATGTAAATTAACCTTTAAACTGTCCAAACGTAGATCTACGTCCATGTGCAGGGGGCTCCGAGCATAATCTACATTTTTTTTACATGCTTTCAAATGGGGAAAATCAAGGTCGGAGTGCTACGCACGTGAACGTAGATCTATGTTTGGACAGTTTAAGTGTTAAGTATTCTACGGAGAGGGAGCATGGATACAGGGATCATCCCACAGTCACTAAAAACAACAGACATAGCCCCACTCCACAAAGGTGGCAGTAAAGCAATTGCAAAGAATTACAGACCCATAGCACTAACGTCCCACATCATAAAAATCTTTGAAATGGTTCTAAGAAGCAAGATCGCCAGTTAGATACCCATCAGTTGCACAACCTAGGTCAGCATGGGTTTAAAGCAGGTTGCTCCTCCCTATCCAAACTACTAGACCACTATGACAAGATCCTGGATGCTCTGGAGAAAAAACAAAATGCAGATGTGGAAAGCCTTCAACAAGTATGATTATGGTGTAATAGCACACAAAATGGGTGATAAAGGAATAAAAGGAAAAGTGGGTAGATGGATCAATAATTTCCTAGCAAACAGAACACAGAGTAATAGCAAACAGAGTAAAGTCAGGGGTGACTACAGTGAAAAGCTCTGTTCAACAAGGTACAGTACTCACCCCCATCCTGTTCCTTATCCTCATATCTGACACTGACAGAGATGTAAGCCACAGCACCATGTCCTCCTTTGCGGATGACATCTGAATTTGCATAAGTGTCATCCATCTAAGACACTGCAAATCTCCAAGTGCAATGAAGACAATTTCAATTACTCCACTACAGAAAACTCAAGGAAATTAAAAATTACTACCACACAATAGAGCAAAAAACTAATGTGAAGGACCTGGGAGTGACAATGTCAGAGAATCTCAATTTCAAAGATCACTACAATGTATCTACCACATCTGCTAGAAAAATGATAGGATAGATAATGAGAACCTACAAAACTAGAGATGCCAAGCCCATAATGATTCTCTTCAAAACACATGTTCTCTCTAGGCTGGAATATTGCTGCACACTAATGGGCCCCTTTCAAGGCAGGCAAAATTGCAGACATGGAGAATATACAGAGAGCATTCACAGCACGTATCAGTACGATAAAGCACCTAAATTACTGGGAATGCTTAAATCCCTTGATTTGTACTACCTGGAATGCAGGCGAGAAAGATACATGATAATATACACTAGGAAAATCTTAAGAGGGAATAGTCTCAAATCTGCCCATGGAGATCACTCACCTACGAAAGCAAAAGACTCAGCAATTGGTGCAACATACCCCCCAATGAAAAGCATGGGGTGCCACGAGAACGCTAAGAGACAACACAAAAAGTGTCAGGGGGCCCAAGACTGTTCAACTGCCTCCCAGCATACATAAGGGGAAATACCAATAGACCCCTGCCTGTCTTCAAGAAGGAGCTGGCCAGACACCTAAAGTCAGTAACTGACCAGCTGGGCTGTGGGACTTCTGCTCCAGCCTTTGTTGGGTGTGGACGTCTCTCTCTCGCCTGAGTATCAGTGACAAATTTCCCCCGTTCTCACTGGGACGCTTGTCCTCATCTATTTTGCCTGCTGGGAACTCAACAGGAGGGGCACCTGTACATCGGCTTCCTTTTAGCCAGCTCCATTTTTTCCGCTCTGTGGATAATTCTTTAATGGTCTTTGGTGGGAAGCCGGTTACTGAACTCAGGTGGGAGTGTGAAACTTCATGTTTCTATCTCTATTTACAAAGGAACATTTTTATTCCTTTTCTCTCATCGCCCAGCCTTGGGCAACAATTTTTCCTCGTACCATCGAGAAACCGGGCTCAATACGGCTTATGCTGTCAGTGGCCCTGATAAACCCAGAAAACAAGAAGCTGGGCTGTGGGTAATACATTGGTTTATGTGAAGCCAGCAGTAACAGCCTGGTTGATCAGGCCCTGATCCACCACAAGGCCTGGTCATGGAGTGGGCCACGGGGTTGAAGTCCTATCTTAGCAACAGGAAATAAATTGTCAAAATCAACAAAACAGAATCAGAATCCCTGCTGATAGCATGTGGAGTTCCCCAAGGTAGTATGTATTCTGGATCCCTTACTATTTCTACGTTATGTAAACAATATGCCCATCAGTGTCAAGTGCAAACTCCTACTGTATGCAGATGACAGTGCTCTGTTAGTGTTAGGTAAAGACCCACAAGATACAGCTAATGCAATAACACTGGAACTGGAGTCCTGGAGCAAATGGTTAGTAGACAAGAAACTATCATTACACCTCGGGAAAATGGAAGCCATGCCCTTTCTCACAAAACATAAACTGAGAAGGGTAAATAATTTTAACGTCTGGTGTAATGGGGAAGACATCACTTCAGTTTCCTCAGTAAAATATCTGGGCATCCCCTTTGATCCATGCATGTCAGGAGAGCTGAGAAGGAACAGTGCAGTAAAGAAAGTGAATGCCAGACTGAAGTTCCTCTACAGACGAGCACAGTGTCTACCTTACCTACTGAGGCTCGCAGGACTCTATGTCTAGCCCTTATACAATGCCATATGGACTACGCTTGCTCTTCATGGTACTCTGCCTTGACAAAAAACTGAAGGAGAGACTGCAAATCACCCACAACAAAATGGTAAGACTCATCCTGGACCTGGGTCCAGAGAACATGTAGGCCAGGATGAATTACAACAATTGGATATGCTGAATACTGAAGACAGAGTAAAACAACTGAAGTTAAATCAAGTTTATAAAATTGCTCACAAACAGTGTCCAGAATATCTTGCTGCCAATTTTGTCAAGGTTGGGAACCAAAGCAATCATAGTACCAGAGGGAGAGAGCACAACTTTGTAGTACCCACAGTCAGTGGCCAGGCTTCAAACACCTTTTACTGTACAGCAATAAAGGAATGAAACAGACTGCCTGCACAAGTCAAAGCCAGTCATAGCATGAGCCAGTTCAAGAAGAGAGACAAAAGGTGCCTAATGAATGTAGCGACAGAAAGGAAGGAGAATGATTTTTTACTGTTTTAGCTAACACAAATGTAAATATAAATAACTCATTTTACCTTATTCCTAGTACAGTGGACCCCCGGTTAACGATTTTAATCCGTGCAAGAGGGCTCATCGTTATGCGAAATAATCGTTATGCGAATTAATTTTCCCCATAAGAAATAATGGAAATAAAATTAATCCGTGCAAGACGCCCAAAAGTATGAAAAAAAATTTTTTTTACCACATGAAATGTTAATTTTAATACACACAAACTGAAAAAGGCATGCACAATTACATGACACTTACTTTTATTGAAGATCTGGTGATGATTGATGGGATGGGAGGAGGGGAGAGCATTATCTTCTTACTGTTTAGAAGGGGAATCCCCTTCCATTAGGACTTGAGGTAGCAAGTCCTTTTCTGGGGTTACTTCCCTTCTTCTTTTAATGCCACTAGGACCAGCTTCAGAGTCACTGGACCTCTGTCGCACAACAAATCTGTCCATAGAGCTCTGTACCTCCCGTTTCTTCAAGACTTTCTAAAATGGGCCATAACATTGTCATTGAAATTGTCACAAGCACGGCTTGCAACAGCTGTGTCAGGGTGATTTTCATCTATAAAGGTTTGCAGTTCAAACCACTCTGCACACATTTCCTTAATCTTTGAAGTAGGCACAATGGATTCCACAACTGGCATAGGCTTCTCAGGGTTAGCCCCAAACCCTTCAAATCTTTCTTAATTTCCATACTAATTCTCACCCTTTTTACCACAGGGTTGGCACTAGAAGCTTTCTTGGGGGCCCATGGTCACTTATTTTCCAGAAACACCACCGAAAACACTGTAATAATACGAAATATTCCGAGTGTATGCTTGGATGTTACCGCGGAGGCTGGCTGGTAAACAATGGGACGGCCGGCACATGTGAGGGCACATTGGACGCGTCTCGGACGAAAATCGGTATGCGGGTTTTTAATCGGTATGCGGGGCAAAAATTTTGCGATAAAAGTAATCGTTATGCGGAAAAATCGCTATGCGATGCCATCGTTATGCGGGGGTCCACTGTATATATATCTTCTTCATAGTATAATAATATTATCTCCTTTATAGTACATATAATAATAAGATATTATCTCCTTTACATTTTTATTATTAACACATCGGCCGTTTCCCACCAAGGCAGGGTGGCCCAAAAAAAGAAAAACTTTCATCATCATTTACTCCATCACTGTCTTGCCAGAGGCACACTTACCTGGAGTTTACCTGGAGAGAGTTTCGGGGGTCAATGCCCCCGCGGCCCGGTCTGTGACCAGGCCTCCTGGTGGATCAGCGCCTGATCAACCAGGCTGTTGCTGCTGGCTGCACGCAAACCAACGTACGAGCCACAGCCCGGCTGATCAGGAACTGACTTTAGGTGCTTGTCCAGTGCCAGCTTGAAGACTGCCAGGGGTCTGTTGGTAATCCCCCTTATGTGTGCTGGGAGGCAGTTGAACAGTCTCGGGCCCCTGACACTTATTGTATGGTCTCTTAACGTGCTAGTTACACCCCTGCTTTTCATTGGGGGGATGGTGCATCGTCTGCCAAGTCTTTTGCTTTCGTAGTGAGTGATTTTCGTGTGCAAGTTCGGTACTAGTCCCTCTAGGATTTTCCAGGTGTATATAATCATGTATCTCTCCCTCCTGCGTTCCAGGGAATACAGGTTTAGAAACCTCAAGCGCTCCCAGTAATTGAGGTGTTTTATCTCCGTTATGCGCGCCGTGAAAGTTCTCTGTACATTTTCTAGGTCGGCAATTTCACCTGCCTTGAAAGGTGCTGTTAGAGTGCAGCAATATTCCAGCCTAGATAGAACAAGTGACCTGAAGAGTGTCATCATGGGCTTGGCCTCCCTAGTTTTGAAGGTTCTCATTATCCATCCTGTCATTTTTCTAGCAGATGCGATTGATACAATGTTATGGTCCTTGAAGGTGAGATCCTCCGACATAATCACTCCCAGGTCTTTGACGTTGGTGTTTCGCTCTATTCGTGGCCAGAACTTGTTTTGTACTCTGATGAAGATTTAATTTCCTCATGTTTACCATATCTGAGTAATTGAAATTTCTCATCGTTGAACTTCATATTGTTTTCTGCAGCCCACTGAAAGATTTGGTTGATGTCCGCCTGGAGCCTTGCAGTGTCTGCAATGGAAGACACTGTCATGCAGATTCGGGTGTCATCTGCAAAGGAAGACACGGTGCTGTGGCTGACATCCTTGTCTATGTCAGATATGAGGATGAGGAACAAGATGGGAGCGAGTAGACTGTCCCTTGTGGAACAGAGTTTTCACCGTAGCTGCCTTGGACTTTACTCTGTTGACTACTACTCTCTGTGTTCTGTTAGTGAGGAAATTATAGATCCATCGACCAACTTTTCCTGTTATTCCTTTAGCACGCATTTTGTACGCTATTACGCCATGGTCACACTTGTCGAAGGCTTTTGCAAAGTCTGTATATATTACATCTGCATTCCTTTTGTCTTCTAGTGCATCTAGGACCTTGTCGTAGTGATCCAAAAGTTGAGACAGACAGGAGCGACCTGTTCTAAACCCATGTTGCCCTGGGTTGTGTAACTGATGGGTTTCTAGATGGGTGGTGATCTTGCTTCTTAGGACCCTTTCAAAGATTTTTATGATATGGGATGTTAGTGCTATCGGTCTGTAGTTCTTTGCTGTTGCTTTACTGCCCCCTTTGTGGAGTGGGGCTATGTCTGTTGTTTTTAGTAACTGTGGGACGACCCCCGTGTCCATGCTCCCTCTCCATAGGATGGTAAAGGCTCGTGATAGGGGCTTCTTGCAGTTCTTGATGAACACGGAGTTCCATGAGTCTGGCCCTGGGGCAGAGTGCATGGGCATGTCATTTATCGCCTGTTCGAAGTCATTTGGCGTCAGGATAACATCGGATAGGCTTGTGTTAACCAAATTCAGCGGCTCTCTCAAAAAATTCATATTGATCTTCGACTGTCAGTCTGGTTAGCGGCTTGCTAAAAACTGAGTCATACTGGGACTTGAGTAGCTCAGTCATTTCCTTGCTGTCATCTGTGTAGGACCCATCTTGCTTAAGTAGGGGCCCAATACTGGACGTTGTTCTCGACTTTGATTTGGCATAGGAGAAGAAATACTTTGGGTTTCTTTCGATTTCATTTATGGCTTTTAGTTCTTCCCGCGATTCCTGACTCCTGAAGGATTCTTTTAGCTTAAGTTCGATGCTTGCTATTTCTCTGACCAGTGTCTCCCTACACATTTCAGATATATTGACCTCTTTTAGCCGCTCTGTTATTCTTTTCCATCGCCTGTAAAGGGAGCGCCTGTCTCTTTCTATTTTACATCTACTCCTCCTTTTCTTAGAGGAATAAGCCTTGTGCATACATCGAGTGCCACCAAGTTAATCTGTTCTAGGCATAAGTTGGGGTCTGTGTTGCTTAGTATATCTTCCCAGCTTATATCGGTTAGGACTTGGTTTACTTGGTCCCACTTTATGTTTTTGTTATTGAAGTTGAATTTGGTGAATGCTCCCTCGTGACTAGTCTCATTATGTCGGTCTGGGGCTCCACGCATACATGTCTGAACCTCAATTATGTTGTGATCTGAGTATATTGTTTTTGATATGGTGACTTTCTTATCAGATCATCATTGTTAGTGAAGATGAGGTCTAGTGTATTCTCCAGTCTAGTAGGCTCTATTATTTGCTGGTTTAAATTGAATTTTGTGCAGAGATTTTAAAGCTCGTGTGAGTGTGAGTTTTCACCAGAGCTGCCTCCTGGTGTTATTACTGCAACAATATTATTTGCTATATTCCTCCATTTTAGGTGCCTTAAGTTGAAATCCCCCAGGAGCAAGATGTTGGGTGCAGGAGCTGGAAGATTTTCCAGACAGTGGTCAATTTTTAACAGCTGTTCCTGGAATTGCTGGGATGTTGCATCCAGAGGCTTGTAGACTACCACAATGATTAGGTTTTGGTTTGCGACCTTTACTGCTAAAACTTCCACTACATCATTTGAGGCATTAAGCAGTTCTGTGCAAACAAGTGACTCTGCAATGTACAGGCCAACCCCCCCCCTTTTGCCTGTTCACTCTGTCACATCTGTATAGGTTGTAACCTGGGATCCATATTTCGTTGTCCAAGTGATCCTTTATGTGGGTCTCAGTGAAAGCCGCGAACATTGCCTTTGCCTCTGCAAGCAGTCCACGGATTGAAAGGTAAATTTTTTTGTTTGTTGCTGGCTTTAGACCCTGTATATTTGCAAAGAAGAATGTCATCGGACTGGTGGTATTGTTGGTACTGGGGGGGGGGATTTTTTTTCCGGCATTAGTATCTGTATCTGTTGGTATGGAGTGGAGGCCATCGACTGTGGTTCCACTCCAGGAATGACTGGATTTGGTGTATGATTTCTGCCATTTCCTGCCAGTTTTTTTTTCCTTCCTGGCACTAAAAAACCTCTCCCTCTTGAGTGGCTGTGGCTACCCAGGTTTTCCCATGGCCTGGATGTTTTGTATCTTTTTGTTCCCTTTAGATGGTGTGCCTGGCAATTTAAGTTATAGCACAGTCTTTCCTGTACTGAAGAGGTACACAGTTCAGGATGAAAAAGCTTACAGGAAGGGAGTTTGCATTTTCCTGTTGTCATATGGGCATGGCATTTTCTAGGGTGGTCATGGTTGCATGTCCCGTCTGTTTTTCCAGATTTCCCATGTCTGCAGATACCAAGTGCATAGTATGTGCACAGGCTTGGTTTCCGTTTGCCTTGGGTTTCTGTGACTGTATTCCGTCGGTGCATGTTTCCCTGTCTTATTCCTATCCTCCCTAGCACCAACAATGGAGCTCCCACCAGGACCACAATGGAAATAAGTCACTTTGACTTTTTGGGTTATCTTAGGTTCTCTACACATATGCTGCTATGTATGATAATCTATGTAACTGTATTTGTGTATACCTGAATAAACTTACTTACCCCAAGGTTTCTTTCTTTGTTGGGTTTACCAGGGCCACTAACAGGTAAGTCATATCGAGCCAGACTTCTTGATGGCACGAGGAAGATTTGTTGCCCAAAGCTGGGCCATGGAAGAAATTGTACAAGTTTGTAAACAGAGATAGAAATTTTAAGTTCCCAATTAGATCCGATGGACGCCCTTGCCAAACCCTAGCAGAGTGGGACGCCCATACCCACACCTGAGTTCAGTAACCAGCTTCCCACCAAAGACCCTTAAAGAATTATCTGTAGAGCAGAAAAAATGGAGCTGGTTAAAAGTAAGCCGATGAACAGGTGCCCTTTCTGTACTGCCCGGCGGCCAAAATGGGACAAGCGTCCCAGAGAGAACGAAGGAAATTTATCACCAGTACTCAGGCGAGAGAGAGACGTCCACACCCGATGAATGGCTGGTGCAGAAGTCCTTCCGTCGCTACACTTATAAATGCA